TAAGAGCCCATAAGCATTCAAAGGTTCTCCTGTGGCTAGGGTTGCAGAAGTCCATGGTGGGAATTGCACTCCTGTTTGTCTCTCACTTACCTCTTCCCTGCACTGCGGAGTTTCTCCTGGCTTCAACCTGACCCCAGCCAGGCTGGCTGCTTCACTTCCCACTCCTTCCGTGATTTGGAGGTTTCCTGTCACTTTCCTGTGAATTCTTATGTTCTGTCTTAGAAATACTATTTGATATGTGATTATCTGCCTACTGTTTTGGTCCTTCTTTGTGGAGGAAGCGAGTGCTTCTGGCTAGTGCCTCTAGCCAGCTATCTTGTGTCACCTAATATTAAATGGAAAAAGTAGAATGTAAAACTGTGTACAATTTGACACAAATTTGACAGAATTGTGGGAAAAGGGCAATAATCAGAATAACAATTTTATGTGATTCTTATTTTCATCTTTATATTATTGATTTTTCTATAATGGATATGTGTTCGTTTCATAAGCAGGAAACGAAATGTAGAGCACATGATCCTTATAAACAGTAAACACCATTAAGCATTTTGATAGAGACAAGCTGGCAGTTTGGCAAAATAATTTCCTTTTCTTCTGAGGGAAGAAATGCAGTTCATTTCATTGATGAGCTACGTTGTCCAGCCTCGTTTGGGATTAGGTGTGGCTGTGTGATTGTTGCAATAAATGGACGTGAGTGGAAATGATGTGGGCACCTTCCAGACCTGGCCCAGAACACATTCCTATCATCTAGGCTTTTTTTCCTATCATCCTGATCATCTAGGCTTTTCCTCTTCCACGGTTTGATGCAGAAGAAGTTGGGGAAGCATCTTTAGAGAACTGAGCCTGGATCTCTTAATACTGGGCTGACTATGTAATTTGTTGGCCAAATTGGAACACGTGAGAATAAAAGGATACAACTGTTCACTGGGAATATTCATTTTGTACTGTGTGTGGACAAGAAATCAACTTCTGTTGTGCTAGTCACTGAAATTCTGAAGCTTATTTGTTATAATAGGGTTATCTTAACTGACACGTGTACAAACTTAAGCCAACCTTTTTCTCATATGGAATATTGTTAAAAAATAAAGTTAATATAATAGTCATAAAATTTAAAAAGTTAAACACATTACAAAATAGAAAGACGAATCATGTCAGCCTTAATCCTACCACCCAACTGACTGTTAACAGAGATGTATTTTCACCCAGATTGTTTCTTTGTATATTTTTACATAGATGTGACTAAAATATATTTATTTTTGAACCATATATTTTAAACTAACACATTTTCCTCATTTTATTAAAAATGTATTAGTGAATATCATTTTAAAATGTCATTCATATCTAATAAACAGACTTTTAATTTACTACTAAATAATATATAAAAGTTACAGAAAAATTAAGAAAATAGATATGTAGGAAGCAAAAATCCTACAGGAAAAATGTGTATATAAGCACCACCAGATGTGATGGCTCACACCTGTAATACCAGCACTTTGGGAGGCCGAGGCAGGTGGATCACCTAAGGTCAGGAGTTTGAGACCAGCCTGGCCAACATGGTGAAGCCCCTTCTTTACTAAAAATACAAAAAATTGGCTGCGTGGTAGCACATGTCTGTAATCTCAGCTACTTGGGAATCTGAGGCAGGAGAATCACTTGAACCACAGTGACCCGAGATCATGCCACTATACTTCTGCCTGGGTGACAGATTGTGAGACTCTGTCTCAGGAAAAAAAAAAAAAGAAGAAAAAAAAATGTGTATATAAGCACAAATTTAATTGTAGTATATACCAATCTATAATCTATTTTAACACAAACATACACGGTGAATATTCTTCCATGTGACAAAATGTAGTTATATGTCATAACTTCAGGGATTCCATAGTGTTTAATAATATGCAGCTTTAAAAAATGAATCCCCCAATTAGTGCTGGATATTTGCATTGTTTCTAAGATTTTACTTGTGTACCAAGGTTGTTATAAGGAACAACTGTGTTCAGTTTTCTTGGTGTGGTTGATGGCTAGGTCAAATACTTCTTTTTTTCCACATAAAATCCAGCTTCTGCAGGACAAAGAATCTCTTTTCTTTTTTTGGATCTTTGTGTACAAGCTGTGAAAATACCATTTTCTCAATGCTCATGCTGAATCTGAATATCATCGTTTTTGTAAATCCTTCCCAATCAGATAAGCAAAATTATTACTATTTTAATTTGTATCGATTAGTTATTGAACGTTTACTTTTTCCAAATGTTTATTAGTTTTTTTTTTTAAATGAACTTGCCTATTAATGTTGTTAGCCTAGTTTTTTATAGCTGTGGATAATGTAGATGTTAATGGCTGCAAAATGAATATGTTGAATGCATGATATTTTACCATTTCCCTATTTAGGACATTAATGCTGATTCTAATTTGGGACCTATTATTAAATAATGTTGCAATGAACATATTTATGAATAACCTTCACACACACACACACACACACACACACACACACACTCTTCAGATCTTACATAGGATAAAATCCCATGCTCAATGTCAAGTGTTTCTGTCAGATCTAAGAGGGAAGACTGACCCACCAGGCACTCTCCTGCCAGGGTCCTTTGGAGCTGGTGGCAGAAATCTTTGGTCACTTTGCTGCTGTCTCTGACTTACACCCTGGGACTCCATAGAGCTCTGCTTGGCTGGCTTTTTGGGGTCTTTGTGCTTCTTCTATGTGATGGCCCCCTGACTCCTACGTGTGCTGCTGGTCACTTGCTTATCTCTGCATGTGTTTACTCCTTTCTCACCTGCCCTACTGCCAGTGCTGCTTCCCAGGGAAAGGCTTGGGAGATGGACATCAGGACAGCCTTATGTGAAAAATAAGTCTATTTGCTTTTCCTCTTATTTTCAATATGCTGGATATTTTCCCTGTATGCGGGTGATTTATTTGTTATTCTTTTCAGTGAAGTTTCTATTTTTTTCAGTGTTGGTCCCATTTGATTCAGTGTTTGCCAGCTATTGTGAGTTTATAGTGTTTTTTCACATTTAACTCATTAGCGGTACTATTTGAGAGCTCAGGATCCTAAATAAAGTCAATGGGGTCACTATTATATTAACTGTCTCACACTTGAACTGTAGCATTTCTTAGGTTTGTGGACTGAGGTTAATGTCTTCTATATGCAGAATAAGCAGAGCTAAGGCTGTTCTGATTGTCTTCTTCCTTCCTGATATAATTTGGCTCCATATCCACGCCCAAATCTCACCTTGAATTGTAATAATCCCACATGTCGTGGGAGGGACCCAGTGGGAAGTTATTAAATCAAGGGGACCAGTTTTTCCTGTGCTGTTCTCATGATAGTGAATAAGTCTCACGAGATCTGATGGTTTTATAAAGGGGAGTTCCCCTGCACAAGTTCTCTTGCCTGCTACCATGTAAGACATGACTTTGCTTCTAATTCACCTTCTGCCATGATTGTGAGGCCTCTCCAGCCATGTGGAATTGTGAGTCAACTAAACTTCTTTCCTTTATAAATTACCCAATCTCAGGTATGTTCTCATTAGCAGTGTGAGAACAGACTAATATATTTCCACACCTCTGGACCCAGACTCCACTGAGCATAGATTAAAAACTTTAGGACCTGAGAATCTCCAAGTCTCTTCTAATTTCACACACTGTCCTTCTGGGATCAAACCAGATCATGCATGTGAGGCTGTAATGAACACTACAGGTAGAATATAGATAATTTAATTATTTTTAAAACACGATTTCTTGTGGATTATAAATACAGATCCATTTGTGCCAAACTGACCTGCCTGGTAGAAGCAGAGGAACCAGGAGAATTGAGGTGAAATTTTTTATCGTTGTAAAATTTCCAAAAGCAGAGACAGGGCCTATTATATGCCCGACACAAAGAGAGAGATCAATCAGCAAGTATTCGTCTATTGATAAATGGCATAGTGTTACTTCCAGCCCAGTGGCCCTGGAGCCCTCTGGGGCACAGCTGCCATAACGCCGGATTGCCAACAGGGGGAGTCTGGGTCTGAGGCCAGGCTAGGCTGAAAGATGTTGAGGCTGCTGAGTGGCTCCACAGAAAGTGATTCCTGAGCCCGTGGGGAAAGCTGCGCTGGACTGAGGGCTTCAGCCAGCCTTGTCCAGGTGGAAGGTGAGAGCTGGCTCCTTTGATCAGCATCAGATGGGCTGGCAGCCCAGGTCTGGCTGGAACAAGCAGTGGAGAAGAATTCACACAGAGCTGGGAACTCTGTTAGCGAGATGAGAGAGAGACTGGCTTCAGAACAGGGTGAGCTAGAAGGGAAAGAAACTGGTATCCAGGGCACTTGGGTGAAAAACACTTGGGAGCTGGGAAGGCCAGCCAGGAAGGAATAAGGTTGACTGAGCTTAGGGCTGGGCCTGGGGCAGGGAAATGGGACCTAGGTGCAGAGGAGCATCTCAACCTCCTAAGCCGCAGGCAGACCTGGCTGTGGGAGAAGCCTGCCCCCGCCAGAGAGACAGGAAATAGGAAAAAGGAAACTGGGTACTCACGGCATAATGTCCTGGAAATGGAAAACTGGGTACTCACGGCATGGCCCCTGGCCTTCCGGGTCCCTGGAGTTAGTTCCTTTCCACTGCCCCGCTCCATTCTCTGCTACGTTGTTAGGGGAGTAGGTGGTTGGTTTAGGGATGGTAAGAAATTCCTAAGGTCCAGAGAGGTTTATTTATTTATTTTTTGTGAGGGGAGGGGGGGGTGAAGATTGTTTATAATGGAGTTCAAACCAGCTCTGACAGAGGGTTCAGTATCAAAGACATGTGATTGAGAAATTGCTGAAAAAACTGTACAGCATGGAGTTTAGGGAGGAAGGAGGGCTGGGGGAGAAAGGAAGAAACAAAAGCCAGAACTGTCAGCAGATGGCTGCCTGGAGCAGTGTTGTGGCATATTGAAGATGGTTCAGTGAATAAATAAGACTTCAGTCATATTTATGCTAGAGATCCATTTATTACAGTCCTGCAACCCCGACCGCCCACCCCTTGGGGATTCTTGCCTCTGTCCCAGAGATGGTCAGGCCCAGAGGAAGGTTAGTCTCATGCCTGCTGTTAGAGGCATTTCATTGTTCTCTTTATCCAGGGCAGGAAGTGTGAGACCTTCATGTAGACTCCTGGAGGTGTCCCGTTTATGCGTCCATGGGAGAAAATACCTTGGGCCACACGCTTACACACGAGGGGCCCCCCGGAGTCCCCCTGTGAACAGAGAGAGGAAAGACTGAGCTGGCCTTCTCTAGGATGGTTGGTCTCTGTTACGGATTTTGTGAGACGTCAGTGCCAGGCAGGCCTTGTCACCTCCCTGAGTCCTAGGTCTCCAGCATGGCCCTGGTTGTGCTTTCTGGCTCTTCCCAGACCAAGCCTTTCTCTGCAATTCTCACGGACACTTCTGTGATAAGTGACTGTGGGATGACAAATCCCTCCCCTCCAGCCACCCCAGTCCACCCAAGGAGTGGACACAGGCTGCCCAAGCTCTGCACTGAGAGCATAAGGATCTGGCCACTGCCATACCCCAGAACTCCCTCAAGTTCCTCTCTCCCTGTGGTCTTTCTGGGTAGGGGCTGGAAATCCAACCTTGAAACCGGTCTTTGTCGTCTTTGGATCCCCCACACAAATCTCAGTGGCTTTGCTGTAATTGGCATGGAAGAGACGTTCACACTCCCAGTCCTTCTGCACTGTCAGCAACACTTCCTGCAGTGTGGTTGCTAAAGTGCCCGTTGAGACACGACCCCAGCCGGCCACACTGCACACTTGCCCTGGCTTCACCTGGACCTTGCTGCTAGGTAACCTGAGGGGCTGTACAGCTGTGGTCCGCTTGGCCTTTCTCTCCAGCTGGTAGGGAAGAAGCAAGAAAGTCCAGGTCAGGCAATG